GGAGGAAACTGGAGTAAAGCCGCGGTGTTTGGTAGAGTTAAACTGGATAACACCCTTTCCACACGTGATCTGGAGCGGGGACTGAACCCAGGACACAAAGGTGAGACCAGATTACTCCATGACCAGCTGGAGGTCACTTGCCGCCCCGGGTTCACCTTCGATACAGCATTATGAGCTAAAGGCATCTTGGCAACGTTGATTGGTTCCTCAATAGTGTAGGAGGGCATGATGGTCCAGGTGATTGGCTATTGACGAGCATATGATCTTATTAGACCCTCTTTTAATAGTTCACTATAGATTATGAATTTTGTTTTGACATGTAATGAGTTACTTTGGAGACGTGACGGTGATCGTTCCTGCAGGAGTCCTTTGGCCAGTCGCCCGGTGCTCGTGACGGATCCTAAAATAAACTCGAGAGGACGTGGCGCCGTGTCATTGGTCATTGAGGCGAGGGAGCACCTCATGGCGCCTGTACTGTAATTAACTATTTCATGAATTTGATATATTTCACGGTTAATTACCTTCTGGTTGGTCGTTTGATGGCTCGATAGTTTTATAGCGTTTAATGGGAATTTGCCTCACGACTGGAATGGACAACATGGGTGCTGTGAGTTGTGGATGACGCTACAACAGTCACCACGGAGGAGAGTTTGCAGGTTGCACGATGGTTGTAAATAAATGTAAAAAAAAAAAATATGTGCAAACGACAGATCTGTAATTGGGTAAATCATTTGACTTAAGGTCGTTTTTCGTTGACCAATAACTGATGACGGTAGTTAATGACGTGATTCAGTACGAACAGGTGATGTGATCCTCAAGAGTGGTGGTTGATGATGATGATCCTAATCCTTAAAGCCGAGTGGTGGAGACAGTAAGACTCTTGGTGCCTAGCTATTGATCCCCGGCAACCGGTTATTGCAGTGTGGGCTGCCGCACAGTCCTCTCGAGCGGCCGGTGGGCGTGAGAGGGGAAGGAGGTGTGTGTGTGGGGGGGGGGGGCTGATAAACTGGCAGGTCGCCATCTTCATCGCCGAGGAGAGTTAACTTAAAGCTTAATGACCAGAAACTTGATAAGGCGTCCTGTAAACACCGGCATTATTTATAGAGGACATCACACTGCGGAGAATACTGCTACCTGTACTCGACGCTCGAAGGAAATCTATTATTAAATTATTGGGTAAACTTGATTCACCTGTGAGTCGTAGGTACATACCTGGTTGGTACATAACAGTAGATGATAGATTCAGTGTGTGTGTGTGTGTGTGTGTGTGTGTGTGTGTAGTCAACTCTTCCATTCTAAACATAGCCGCAGCTTTGTTCGATCTTTCTTTTCATACTCTCTAAAGGTCAAGGCCTCTACTACCACGCTTTAGTTGTAATCATTCACCCACTTTTAGCATTCTGGAAGTTTACTTGACATTCTCCTGCAACGCTAAAAATTACTTCATTCAATCCTGTCCTTGTCCAAGTTTACTCCTAACATGTTTGAACTTAATTTTCCTCACTTCTGTTATTCTAAATCTTGCTCCACTCACTCCTAGGATTCTCAAACTACCTTCACTCTTTACTCACGTGCTAAAGTTCCTGCCACTCCCAGAACGGTAAAGTTTCACACACTCTTGCTAAAACACTCCTCCAGCACGTTTACTTCACCCTCATCCCAACTCACTCGGGTGTTGGTAGGCCACTCTGCTTTCAGGGGTTGATGATTCAGTTCATGCCCCTGGGCTGTCGCGTTGACCTCAGCTTGAAATATGCATGGAGGTATAAGCTAACTCAGTCGCCCCTAAACACGAGGAGTTGGCTGAAATCCCCCCTCACGCCCCTTCCCCTCTCACTGTGTAAAATAACCGGGGTATTAGATCACCTGAAGATTAGCCCCTTAGCTTATTTCACCTTAAGATTAACCACCCTAACTCTTTAACTTGTTGCTGGACATGTCTGGATCAGTACACCCTGGTCTCTTCTACACACACATCGGCTAAGGGATTGGGTTATTTACGTCTACACAAGGCTAACGGATTGAATTCTTTACCAAAGTTTCGGGGTCCAGGCAGAAAGTTTCATTAGTTGGCTTAGTGTTCTGGCCATTTGTGCCCAATCTGTAAACATTTGGTTGGGAAAGTTGACCTTATACGTCGACCTTGGTGGGTAGATAGATAACCAGCCGTTCAGACAGCCCGTGGCACCCTGCATAGACGCCTCATCACCCTCACATGGGAAATTTCACATCACCCGACACACTTTTTACAGAATCACTCTTGTGCTTTCCTGGGGCTTTTTTTTTTTACAGCATTCCTTGTCGTTGCCACCTGATAACACGACGTAATAACGTGGTGGGTGTCATCTCATCACCTCACTTAACCTAATTCATTGGTTAATATGACAAAATCTCATCAAATCTTTACCTTACCTGAATGACTAGGAAGAATTTAAATTGATGGTATATTTGATTGTTTCATCACAGTTGTTTTGACGGACGAGTGTGGTTCAGGGACGCTTTGCCTGGTGAGAATTTCTGGATTCCATTTTTCCCACCCATATATTAACTACCTTGATGCTTTATCACGTACAGCCAATGTGATTGATGCCTTACAGTACACTCAGTGCCCTCCACTGCCCTCGTAATCACCTTGGTTACAACACCTTTGAAAACTTTCCAGGTGTTCAGATTTGTCATTTTTTGTGTGTTTAGTCTGAAGTACAGGTGAACACGGTGTGGTTTATTGCATATCAGGTAATTATATAATGTGTTTTGCCTCGAAGATAAATAAAAAGTGTATCGTTCACATGCTGGTGTAGCTCTCACTCTCACACGAGGTGTTCTCTGTCTCTCACGACTTGTACCTGAAACCTAGTCATTTATTGTGCTCATATTTTCTTCATTATAATTCAAGAGACTTTAATGTATGAACTCACGTCACCAACACCAGTGAACGTGATGAGTTGCCAAGACTTGTAACATGTAACAGTGCACGAGACTAGGGTACAGTCACAGTGCACGAGACTAGGGTACAGTCACAGTGCACGAGACTAGGGTACAGTCACAGTGCACGAGACTAGGGTACAGTCACAGTGCACGAGACTAGGGTACAGTCACAGTGCACGAGACTAGGGTACAGTCACAGTGCACGAGACTAGGGTACAGTCACAGTGCACGAGACTAGGGTACAGTCATAATATATAATACATTGTTTAAACTGTACCAGAAGTTGACATTGCTGTAACTTTACAATAACTGTGTAGTGACTCGGTACAAAGTATTGGAATGTAAACAAACTACAGTACTACAGTGTATACTCTTCAAACAACTTTTGTATTCTTCGTAACAATGTGGTGAGAATGTCACACCGCTCATTGTTGTTACTGGATGGTGAATGTTCAGACGACAGAGAGAGAGAGAGCGTTTGTGTTGTCTGATGAGCTCACTCCACCCAGGGGCTTCCTTGTCACTGTTCGGTATACAGGAACACACGTAAACATTTTACTCTTGTTCAACTGTTATACTGTGGTCCCCGCAACACACACACACACACAGCGGGGGGTTCTCTCGGCTGAATAATATTGTCTGGCAGAATAAAATACCAACGTGTGCCGCTGCCCTACGAAGAGTTAAAGACGAAGACGTAATGCAGATATGAACCGTGGTTATGGCGGCCATCTTGTGGGGAATTTTTAAGTATTGTCTTACTGTTAACATTGTGTGACAAAGAATATATAGCCTATATATATATATATATACACACACACACAAACATACACATACACATATACATATAAATTACAGTGGAATTGAAAAACACAAGTATAATGGGGGAGCAGTACAACCTGGGTTGTACAGTAATAAGGTTGAACAAGAGGACAGAGCTGTCAGGATTATGTCTAGTTGGCAATTATGTTTATTGCAATGGTAATTACTTATTTATTTACATGATAATTTCCGATAAAACGGTTTTGATGGTACAATAAAAGTAGGTACTGTAAATATAGTAAGTGTTACAAGAGTTTGACCCCCGACACGTAGCAAGGGACCGAGAACCTACTATGCAGTGTTAGTCATCGCAGTTGGCCAAACACGCTAGGTGTCCCTCAATATCACAACCATCGTTTCTTGCGTGTCAGGGTAATTGGGAAATATTGTGTGTAGAAGTTGTACTGGGAGGTAGTTTTTGTAGTTTTGTTCCAGCAACTTCTAGGACACAGTCGCATGATACACTTCTCCACAAGTACCGTAGCTACAGCTGGCGCATAAGTGTACCACAGTCACAGCATAAAGTGTACCATTTACGTAAAGTTTATGGAGCCATAAATAAACTCTTGGATATAGAGCACAAGATACTGTGTCCCTCTTAAGAAGACTTGTATTTAAAGAGTCATAACACAGAGCTCTTAACGAAGCTGACACACGTAGAGGCAAAACAAAGGGAGTCGGAACCAGCTGCGTGATGTAATTAAGAGAATTAACAGAAACAGCAGTGAGGTTAACGAGCCTGGCGTGGCACCGTATCTGGAGGGAGCTGTGGTATACCCTGGTGTAGTGTTAGGGGGTAAACTCGAGTGAATGAGGTAATGCAACACTTCGGTCTGGCTCGGGATGAAGAGTTGTTAGTCAATATACTGTAGATGCCAAAATTCACGTTGTTTACCAAGTATGCAAGTTGACGATATGACCGAGTAGAGTATGTGTGGATATTTGTACTTGTAGAGTCTTACCCGTTCTCTGTAGCTCCCCACACTCATCCTCCCCACATTATTCTCCCTTATTTCAGGTTTATGTACCCTCTTGATCCACCCCTCACACAATATGGGAGATTAAGAGGCTGTAGTAGGTGAAGTTCTTGTAGTTATGAGCTTATTATTATTGCTTTATCTTCCAGGAGTTGATCATTTGTGTTAAATCTTCATCTTGTGATGTTACGATTAGCCTGTAGTGGAGTGTGATGTTACACACACACACACTCGGTCTCATAACTAAACCCTTCCTGGTGTTGTGTGATCCAGGGGGTGCGAGTCCAAGGCGGAGGGAACGAACAAGATGGAGAGGTACACGCCGCAGCGGAAGTTTGCCGATCGTCGCTACCAGGTGTCGAGTGCCAGGACCTACTTCTACGTGAACGAGGCGCAGTGCGAGAAGAACATGGAGACCTTCATCAACTGTATCGACGCCGTGTCTGGTAGGTACTTTCACTTCACCGCTCATTGTCTTGTCAATGCACGAAATTGTACAGTTGTAGTAGTTAGGTGATCTGTAGTTGGATTTGGGTGTACTGTATGTAGATATGTGAAAGAAAGAAGTGTATGCATGTATGTAATAATAATAATAATAATAATTAGCGGTTTATTGAAAGAGCATGGCAGCCGGAAGGCGGAAAATATACAGTTACATAATTGGGGAATGGGTCTCTTGATTTACAAATAATATACAAGTAACATAAGTGATACAAATATGATATATAATAACTAGGTGGGGAGAAGGTTATACTGCAGGGGATTTCAACATAGTGACTGCAAAAATGTATGTATGTAAAATAACATGTTTACAGTGTGCTTGGTAAAAGTCGTGTAATTGCAGAACTTTCAACACACCAGGAAATTAAAATGCCCCTCTACCCCTCCACCCATGGCCACCGCGTGAATCACCATGGTCACACCCCAAGGAGAATAGCAACGGCGCCTTATATCCTTGGTAGTAGTGGTGGTTGTTGGTGGTTGCTGGAGGTAGGTGGTGGTGGTGGTGGTGGTGGTAGTAGTAGTAGGTGGTGGTGGTGGTGGTTGGTGGTAGTGGATATTTAATTTTAAGGTAATAAAATGGCGGCGAAGGTGTGGCTATTGGGGGAGGATGGAGGCCACTTATAAAAAAAGTGGTGGTTGTTAGTGGTGGTGGGGGGTAATGGTGGTGAACATGTGACGAGTGGCTGCCTCAAGGAGTGGTGAAAGTTCATTTTATTGCACATTGCATAACGAGTGTCTGTCGTTCTGTCTGGCCTTAGAGTATATTTCATCCCTGTCAAATCTGCACCTTACAACTCTGTCTTCATCATATTTCATTACGTTTGTTTCGCTGCGCGTGTGTTAGTTATTGGAGAACCTATCACGTCTGTCGGTCTTAACAAACAAAGATCACACGTGGAGAGAACATAAGAATGGAGGAAACTGCAGCGGGCCTATTGGCCCATACTGGGCAGTCCCGTTTACACCCAACCCCTATTGCTCATATAAGCATCCAACCTATGTTTGAAGCTATTCAGCGTATTCGAGTTAGTGATGATATTTGGTAACTTGTTCCATTCATCCACTACTCTATTTCCAAACCAATGTTTACCAATTTCGCGCCTAAATCTAAATTTGTCTAATTTAAAACCATTGTTACGAGTTCGCTCCTGGTTGGATAGTTTGAGTACCTTTGTAATGTCCCCTTTGTTTAGCCCTGACTTCCACTTATACACCTCTATCATATCGCCCCTCACTCTACGTCTCTCGAAGGACCACACGTGGTCATGGGGTCACCAGGTGGTGTGGTGTTCACGTGGTGCAGAGAGGTGTGTTCAGCCCTTGTCAGCAGGTATTATAACTAGCTAAGTAAGGGTCAACACATCTTGAAAGCCGCCGTATATGTTGAGTGTGTTAGGAAGTTATTTACCATAGATGATATACCTAAGTGAACCATAACAGATAGGTGTTTTGAGGAGTGTAAGTTAAAGTGGAGGGATGTGTCAGTGTGTCGAGGAGGGATGGCGGTGTCTGGCAACGAGTTGAATTCACTTCCAGCTGTCCAAGAAACCAAGGCATCAAAAGTTCTTCTTGTTCATTTACATTTCCCTGGGGAGTGCCAAACAGAGAAGCTCATACAACTACCCATAAAAACGACCTTATGACGTCTACACATCCATTTATCTTGGCTACATAACCCCTCCCTCTTCTTTTTTTTTGCCTTTCCACTGCCTTAAATCCAAGATGGCCGCGAAGAACCAAAGGACTCGATTGTATTAAAACAAAACTATATAGACATGATGTAACGGTCTTGAAAATGTTGTTTTGGTGTCTAGTTAATAACTTTATATTGTAAACAAATAACAATTATTAACCTGACCTAACCTTAGCCCATAGCTTAGCTTTGCCTAGCCTTGTTTAACCTATAGGTAACCTAGTAACCTTACCTATAGCCTAACCTAACCCGTAGTTAGTGTTGTTGAAGTTACAGTGTTCATTTGTGGTGGATATCAACGAAATATGATGCGAGAGGCTCAGACAATGACACAAACGATGTTGCTCTTTCCAGTATATTTCGGGACCATCCATACAAACATAACATGCGCATGCAGTGGCGCTTTATTCCACAACTAACACAAAACATAATAGAACATATTCACATAAATATGGGGTAACCTAGTTTATATCTAACAAGTGTATAGCAATAAAAATTTATAAACAAGTAAATTATCCTTCGGAAAAATGGCAGTTTTATTTTTAAGCTTTATTGAACGATTATATAATGCTCCCTTGTAGTGTTGTGTGGTGTTTAGAGTTAAAAGTGTTAACCTTGTATTAACAGACGCGACGCACGGCACGGGTTTCGCAGCTATCAAGATGACAGCCTTGGGTCGACCACAGCTGTTGGTGAGTAGCTTGTAGCGTAGTCCCTCTCTTACAGTAGCCTGTAGCCCCCCACCCCCTTACTGTGTCGGGTACCCGGGTGACAAGTATGTATATATATATATATATATATATATATATATATATATATATATATATATATATATATATATATATATATATATATATATATATATATATTATGTAATAGAAAGACGGAGTGAAGGAAGGGTGCTGGAGGGCTGGTTATCCATGGGTTACGGTGACCAAGGTCTATGAGGGTGACAAGCCTTGGCACTCAGCATGATGTGAGTTCGGTGAAAGAGAGAAAGAGGAAGAATTTTAGAGAGAGAAGAAAAAAAAAGAGGAAAGCGAGGAAGGAAAGGTTGGATAGATGGAGGGAGACGAGGATGGGGGTAGAGGGAAGGAGAACTTGGGGAGAAGGATTTTTAGTTTAACAAATTTATTGACAAAGCTTGTAGTACAGTTTGCCTAGTCTGAGTAATTCAGTCAGGTCTTGACACTGAGGGTGGTATCACTTCTCACTGCTATGCAGGACAGAGGTTCGTACACAAAAAAAAGAAAGAAATACATCATATTCACCAGCAGCATATATAGGTCAGTGGTTCACATACATTGGAGTCATATTCTAAATTGAAGACTAATCAGTGTGGGCTAGCAAATTTGGGATAAACAGCAAGAATGTCCTCAAGCATCCCCGATGAGAAGGAGATGAGCAGGAGGGAGAGGTGGTTGTCATGGGGACGGCAGCCTCTGCACACCCTCGAACGTGGTGGCCCTGTTGTGATGCCTCAGTGCACCACCGGGGTGATATACAGGGAGCTGAAGGGTTATACAGGGAGCTGAAGGGTTATACAGGTTGATGGTGGGTTATACAGGGAGATGGTGGGTTATACAGGGAGATGGTGGGTTATACAGGGAGATGGTGGGTTATACAGGGAGATGGTGGGTTGTACAAGGAGATGGTGGGTTATACAGGGAGATGGTGGGTTATACAGGGAGATGGTGGGTTATACAGGGAGATGGTGGGTTGTACAAGGAGATGGTGGGTTATACAGGGAGATGGTGAGTTATACAGGAGATGGTGGGTTATACAGGGAGATGGTGGGTTATACAGGGAGATGGTGGGTTATACAGGGAGAGGGTGGGTTATACAGGGAGATGGTGGGTTGTACAGGAGATTGTGGGTTATAGAGGGAGAGGTGGGTTATAGAGGGAGAGGGTGGGTTATAGAAGGAGAGGTGGGTTGTACAGGGAGAGGGATGGGGAGATGGTGGGTTATACAGGGAGAGGGTGGGTTATAGGGAGAGGGGTGGTTGGAGATGGAGGGTTGTACAGGAGAGGGTGGGTTGTACAGGAGAGGTGGGTTGTACAGGGAGATGGTGGGTTATACAGGAGATGGTGGGTTGTACAGGGAGATGGTGGGTTATACAGGGAGAGGGGTGGGTTATACAGGAGATGGTGGGTTATAGAGGAGATGGTGGGTTATAGAGGGAGAGGGTGGGGTTGTACAGGAGAGGTGGGTTTTACAGGGAGATGGTGGGTTATATAGGGTAGGGGGGGTTGTACAGGAGATGGTGGGGTTATAGAGGGAGAGGGTGGGTTGTACAGGAGATGGTGGGTTATATAGGGTAGAGGGGTTGTACAGGGAGATGGGGGTTACAGGGAAATGAATGGTTGTACAGGGAGATGGTGGGTTATAGAGGGAGAGGGGGGTTGTACAGGGAGATGGAGGGTTGTACAGGGAGATGGGGGGTTGTACAGGGAGATAGAGGGAGGCATGGCAATAAACAGGGAGAAAGTGAGAGGGCAGGGTAGACATGTCACCCTCAGCACTCTGAAGACTATTTGTCGATGTGTGCGCACTTACACCCATGTAAGAATACATGCATACACACATACTGTACAGTGTTGATATACTGTATATATCCACAAGCTTGTGGATGCTTAGTTTTGCTCCCAGATGCACCAAGTTAATATGACAAATATTAAACATATAAAGACCTTCAAGGCAATCCTTTCCTTAAATTTCATACTATAACCCTTGCTGCTTTAATGTCAGAATTTAAGTATTTGTCATACAGGTATACGCCCGATCCAGCAGGACAGCAAGCCGGCCATGCCGTGTATTGCCAACATTGAATTATCGACCAGACAGGGACCCTGACGATAATGGTGAGGCAGAGCAAAAAAAAAAAATAAAGAAATAAAATAAAATAAATAAATTAATTAATTAATTCAAAACCTTCTAATTACCGTGTAAAGAAAGGACTTAGCATATTACTTTTCTAAAAAATCCTTGACGGGGTTGGAGATGGTTATAACTTCTTCACAAGTTGTCATGACTGAAATGTGTCCTCCTGGCTTTCTATATAACCAATCTGTAAGGTGTAAGACTTACATTTTTGGTGGTTTTTGGCCAAAAATTAGATTTTGCTGAAAATCACAGTATGGGTACTCCTGAGCTTGCTGCTTATGAATATATGGTCCACGATTTGATTGCATAGTAGTAATTAGTGGCCAAAATGACCCTTGAAAGATTTTACTGACATTTTTCAATGCTAATTACTTATCAACTATGGGTTTCCAAGGTGTGATTTATGGTGTGTGTGTTATTCTGAAAGTACTTAATTAGTTAAACCCCTTAAATTTCAATTCTGAGAAAAAAAGTATATTTTGGTCAAAAATTTTGTTTGGTGTAAGACTTTTGATTATGTTTACAGATTCATGAGTTGCTGTTCTATAGAGTGATTCTTTTTACTCATCGCACTGGACTTTAGACCCACACCTACCAAACTCCCTCATTTAAATAAGAACCTGTAGTAATACCAAATGCAAATTTAGTGTGGGTAGTTGACTTATAATTTCAAGAAGGAGCTTTGCATCACATAATATCCTCACTGAGTCTATTATCAAGAAATGTTGATAACAGGGGTGGATCCGGGAATATCAAAGGGGGGAACATGGTGAGCACAGTGAGCCAACCCAGCTGGAGAGTTTGGGGAGAGAGGGGGGGGGCGCTCTAAGCTACCCCAGAAAATGATTTGGAATCTAACCAATATTATGGACGTTTTCAGGCCATTTTGAACCCATATGCACTGATATTAGGAGACATTCTGAGATCAATAGTACAGTACTGTAATTACTTTTTACTATACAAAAATGCCTGAGTACAATACTACATTAAATAAAAAGTATTGGAATTTTCTGATGAAGAGGATGGATCTGGACCCTCCAGAAACCACCCCCCAATCCACCCTTGATAGATTATTTATTTTGATAATGTTACATGTAACCCACTTCTGGCTGGGTGCCCAACTGTTATCAAATTGGTCTACACTGCCGCCACCCTCGTCTCATCGTAATATGTTGGTGGCATGCCAGGATGTGGACATGGGCAGGCAGCTTGGTGGCTCAATAACCAAGGTTGTCTTGGGGAGCGTGTAGCAGGGGACATGGGTGTTGTGAGTCGTAGAGCTCGTTGTGAAAATGACTCCTCACATGGTGTTATTATTTAGTGCTATCATACTTAATTGTGTTACAGGGGAGGTGTATTGACAGTGTTACATCAAGCTCTGCCATGTTGAAAGAGGAGAGCAATAAACATCGTCATAACATACTGTATACTGTATGTTAGAGGGGAGGATTATTGGCTGTTACTGTACTTGATTACTAGGTTATGCATAAGGAAAGGGATATTAACTTCGTTATATTGTATCTTGTTATAACTGTTACATGATATCATCATGTTACAACACACTATACGTAGTCTGTTCACTCGAAGCCTGCTATTGAGTCCTGGCCCTAGGGTTAGTTTGTTGCAAGGAAGCTGATTAACTGGTCGGCAGTCACCCAAAGAGTCACTACAGCAAGGTACTGTACATAATAAAGATTAATTTTTATACGAGTCATTTGTAGCACACGACAAGATGTGAAGAAAATATAATGTCTTTGAGAGTCATTTGGATGTGTTGGGTGTCTACAAATCTATTAAAGAATGAGTGGGTGAACATTTATGGAATATTTATGGTCAATGATTTGCGAGAAATTCACTCCACATAATGTTATATGTACAGCATTTCTGCTTGGTATTGAGAGTAAAAAAAAATTATTTTGGTTTTAGTACATATCAACATTGTAGAAGCTGTGGGAAGCAAAATGAAAGTGTTCATATATAATAGCTGTCATCTCAGAACTTTTTTGTGTTATAGCAATTGATGTATGATGCAGTCAACAGTTTTTAAAAAAATATTTCGTGTAAGACTAAAGTCATTATTAACTTTACTTAACTTATATCTTCAGATGCAACTTTCGGAGGTGATTGCTCGAGCCCGACAGTACTTCACCCAAGTTACAGGAGAATCTGGCCCCATCCTCTTCTCTGACATTAAAACAGATGTGTTTGAGAAGCGGTTCCGTGAAGAAAACATACTGACCGATAATGTCTCCGTGAGAACTTGGCTGGACAACATGACCTATGACCAGAAGGGTCTCATTCATCTGTTCTCGTGGTCAGGTCTGATTGATGCCAACATCCTCTTAAGTGACTTGTTCCAGTGTCCCAATCTCCAGAGTGGTCATATGGAACCTATGATCTCAGCACTTACAAGGGAAGAAGAGGAGATGTTTAAAAATATGATGCGTAGACTGCACACTATTTTCCAGGCAAGTTTGACCTCTGAATGGGTGTTATCATTGACAATCTATCTTCAGAAATGTGTGAATGAATTAATTTGGGTTACACTATTTTTAACATTTACTGATACATGTTGTTACATTATAATAAAATAGAGACTTAGTACATTAGATGCTCTAGTGCAATTAAAAAAGAGATTCATGGTAATTGCTGAAGACATGCCTGTCACCCAATTTTCAGAGAAAATTAATTTAAAAATGCTGCAATTTCACTGTGTTTTCCAGTGCACACTGTCGTAGTTTGGGAAAATGTGTTAAAATGGAATTACAAGTATTTCTAAATTTAACCTAACTTAACTGATAAATTTTTCCTTGCAGTTCATAATCGCTTTGATAATTAAAAATGTGGTTTTCCAATAGTTTAGATGATTCTAAGACACTTTTCTTCTGTGGCATTTCTCTTGCAAATGATCTAAAATAACCTAACCTAATCTAACCAGGGGCTCCATCCCCCCTGGACCCCCTGGAATATATTATAAGTCAATTGCTAGGGAAACAGGTCAAGTAACATTGCTTGGAAAGCCCTGAATCATATCAACCCCTTGACTAGTGATACTTTTTTGAGGGACTGTACATTCTAGAGTCAGTACATGCCCAGTATTTACCAACAGTGTGTAACAGAGACATAACTGACTATCCAAGCAGCAAAACACTGATCACTGGTGAAGAGGTCAAAGTAAAGATATGAAACTCAAATGACTTATGTTGTACTAATTTGAAACAGTTTTACTGTAATTTTGTGAAGTATATTTATATATTTGTTACTCTCTTATTCAGTTTATGTTTCTGCATATATTTCCAGATTTAATGTACATTATTAGCATCCTTACAACATTCTCAGTTGCCCATATCTCTTTCAGTATGCTAAACAATGCGATGTCCGAGTGATGGTGGATGCAGAGCAAACTTACTTCCAACCTGCCATCTCTCGCCTCACCTTAGAAATGATGAAGAAATATAACCAGGAGAAAGCCATAGTGTTCAACACATATCAGTGTTACCTGAAGGAAACCTTTAATAACCTCTCCCTTGATCTTGAACAGTCATATCGCCAAAAATTTTATTTTGGTGCCAAGCTGGTGCGAGGGGCATACATGGAACAGGTTAGTCTGACACTGACTTGAAGTTGTTTGAATACAGCATTGTATTTTTTAAACAAGTTTCATGTTTATTAAAAATTTTTGTGTGAAGGTGAAAGTGGGTCCCACAGGCAATGCAGATGCAGCCCATTGACTGTATACAAGGATGCAGTGTAGCTTCACTACAGTGGACAGACTTTACTTCCCTAAACATAAAGTCAGGTACCCATTCACAATTGGATGAACAAGCAACCAGTGGGACAGAAGGTGAGCACTACATCCACTCAATACATCTCTATGTAGTGTACACATTGCTCCTCACACTCATTACAATTGTTAGTTACCTCATGTGTGGGCTTTTGCAGTTCAGGTACCCACACTATGTTTTTATTTTCAGGAACGTGCCCGTGCTGTAGAGCTTGGCTATGAAGACCCAGTAAATCCCTCGTACGACGCTACTACCGAGATGTATCAAGAATGTCTCAGGGAATGCTTGCGAAGAATTAAAACTAACAAGTTGATTGGAGAAACACAAAGGGTAAGTTTTTTATGTTTAGTAGTAGGTGTAAGTCATTGTGAAGCATACATGTTAATGAATGAAACAAATTGAGGATATGAACCTACCTTTGGGAGTAATTCATTCTTGTTCATAAATGAATTTGAGTTATTCCAGAGATCTTTCATTTAATTCTATTGATGGCCTATGGATCATCAATAAGTAACTTGAGAGATATGTACCATTAAATCACCCTTGGTATGTCATTCAAATGGTAGGTTTGTGGAGACCAGAAATGTTACTTTCAAATGTTGCTATTAGTGAGAGCTGGAACCTATTCATTGCAATTAACTAAGGATAAGTTTAGTGTGCCAGGAGACAGATGTAACTCAGGTTATTTCCAGTAGGTTTTTATAAATCCACCTTTTGTATTAACAAATATTTCACTTGTTTTCTTTAATTAACAAATTATAATCTAGTTTTTGTAAGCAAAAAACTTGTACAGCTTGTCCTTCATTCTGGGGCAGTTTGGAGACCACATCCTCTAACAGTCTAATATATTTTCTATTCTTTATTTAATACTGTACTTCATGTACTGTACTCTATATGCTAGGCCTTCTATTTCCAAAGTCTAGAAAATTCCTGAGTCCAGCTCATTTCCAGGTTACCAGACAATTGATATATATATATACAGTACTACCAATAATTTAATGCTAAATTCTCAAGATATCTTGCCCCATTTTTTGCTTTTGTTTACTGCAACACAATGACTCCATGATTTACAAGGTGGTTACTGAAAGTTCCTGAAAAGCAGCACATAAAGTGAATCCATATGAAAAAAATACTGTGAACCTTTGGGAAACAAGGGTTTAAGTTTCAAGCTCTCAATAGCTTCCCAGGATTGGCTGCAGGATTTGTGGATCTTATCATCAGCTGGCCATCAATGTCCCCTCACTCCAATTCTCTTCTAAAGAAGCTTTTTATTTTTTCTTTTGTTGCATTCTACAAGAATTAAACTTTCCATTGATACAAAACAGCACTGAAATAAGAAAAAATACAGTGTTAAAATTAATTTTAATTTCTTTCCTACGGCATCTGTCGTAGCTGTATGGGAGGTGTACTGGGATGGGGTCACAAAGTTAAAGCACATACATCTCCCAAGGTGACATACTTAGTACTACACTGAGGGAGCAGCCACAATAATAGTCAGTATATTGGGTACATATAGAAAAGTGAGGATCACAGATTTTCATGTACAGGGTATTTCGTTTTAACTTAGATCATATATTTCAGGTCATGTGAAATTACATATATGTACTATATTTGAGGCTAAGTATAATTTAGGGTTGAGGTATGTCTTTTGTGTTCAAGTAAAGTAAATTTTTGTGATAATATAGCTTCTTGCATTGATTTACTTGTACCACCAGATTGCCATAATGATAGCATCCCACAACGAAGACACTGTTCGCTACACGGTCAACAAGATGACTGAATTAGGAATCGATCCTTTGGACAAAGTACTCTGTTTTGGTCAACTTTTGGGCATGTGTGATCACATCTCGTTACCTCTGGGTAAGTGTATATTCTTAGTTGATCTCTATAGATAGTCCCCTTTATAATTATGGAATAGCTTTCCAATAATCGCTCCTGTTCAGGTTGTTTTTCACGAATACTGTGTATATACAAAATAATATAGTCATCAACAGGCCCGTTCTTTTGGGGGGGGGCAAACAGGGGCGACCTCCCGGGGCCCCGTGTGTGTGGGGGCCCCGTGGGGCCCAACACTAGACCCAGTGACCTCGGACACATTACCTGTTGACTGGTTAATCTGACCTGACGGCTTACGCCACCATCGCAACCGTGGCCTTACCATCCATAGCGACAGTCCCATGGGGGTTGGTGGGGCCCCGCAGTGGCTGAGTTGCCCCGGGTCCTGCACCCCCCTAGGGACGGCCCTGGTCATCAAGCATTCTTCAGGATACTTAAATCCCTCAAATCCATGACACTTCTGAATCTGAGATCACATTACAATACATTGGACCTCATATGGATACTTGTAGTTGGGTCTGGAAGTTGGAACCCAAGTCCAGGTTATGGGGAAAAATTGGGATTCACATACTACAGTATCAAATGACATGGCCAAGTGTGTGAGGGGAGGGAGGAGTCACCCAAGTGGCTCAGACAGGTTTCATGTGGCTACTGACCCTTTCTCACAGGCTGAATCAACTGGATTTCTGGTTCCTCTTAGTAGTCCTGTCTCCTATTTAATTTACTGTACAGTACACTTGTGTAGGTTGAGTACACTTGTGTAGGTTGAATTCTTAAATATGTTTCTGTGCTACACAGTAGTGAACTTTCAAATGTAAGAGTAAGTAGGTGTAAGTGCATGAGCTTCACTTTTGCTTCTCCCCCCCCCCACAAAAAAAAATCTAGTTTTATTTTTTTTGAAGACATTAAACTTACTTTTTTTTAACAGCAACTCAGGGTATCTTATTAAATATTTTAATATATGTATCTTCATTCCACAGGTCAAGCTGGCTATTCAGTTTACAAGTATGTTCCTTATGGTCCAGTGAATGAGGTACTACCTTATTTATCTCGGCGTGCTACAGAGAATAGTTCCCTTTTGGAAAAACTAGATAAAGAAAAAACACTGCTGATGCGAGAATTGTGGAGACGCCTCACCTCAGGCCAGATATTTTATAAGCCAAAAGGCAACTATACACCAGTTGGTGCTCAGAAGTATTAGAATGACACGGTATGTCAGTGGCAAACAGATAGGGCCCGGGGTAATTTAAGTCATGCCATCAGTATTTTTAAAATTATACAATACTATGAAAACAAAGTAAGACATATATGACAAGGTCACTTGGGGTTTTTGAGATTATCCCAAATGATGTCAGTTATCATGTCATATTTTGGGGGTAAATTAATTGTACTTGTGATGATTTAGTAATGGAATTTGGGGATATTTCTAGCATTGTGGTTTTAAAGAAGAATTCCATGTTATGTGATAAGAATCTTTTTTACAGATTATTACAGAGGTGGAAAGTAACTAAACTTGGCTTGTTTTCTGAATATGAACAGATGCAGTTAATGTTTTATGTATTACATCAGCATTCTTGTTAGGTAATACCATTACAGTACTTCAAAGACAAGCCAGGAACATTCCTTCTTGATGTATAAATGTGCAACAAAATGTGCTGGGATAAATGAGGTACAATGTGAATACAGTATATATTGTTTTTTTATAAGTTGTTCGGTGTTTGTTTTATCTTTTACTAATGCCTATATTTATATAGATTCATTATCAAAATTATGGTTATCAAGGACACCAAATATACAGTATTTCATTATATTCATGTACTGTACTGTATTTGTATATGGATGTATACAAATGATCTCCCAATTTTAAATATTTAGTAAGAAAAAATTAACAATGCTAAGGCAAAACTTTTACATATACAGATACACAAGAACTCCAAGTTTTATTTTAAATTTATAAAATTTCAATACGGGCTCCCTTTGTGGCTCTGTAAACATCATAGTGGTATTCTGTTTCCCTCCATACATTTTGTAGAATATTATACTAAATTTTTGGAACAGTGTCATGGACGTAACATGTTCTTCAATTGTTCCAAAGTTGTTGCCATTGGTGGAACGAAGACTTCCTTTTTGACATACCCTCAAAGGAAAAAGTCAAGTGGGGTGAGGTCAGGTAAACGAGCTGCTCAATTAATGGGCCCCATGACCGATCCAACAATTGGACAATTGTTCATGCGGGTACATTTTCACTGCATTGTGAAAATGTAGTGGCCCACCATCCTACTAAAGTAAAACATCCACTTTATCCTCCTGCAACTGAGGCATCACTCACATATTACAGTGATAATTATAGTACCATTAACTGTTTTTTCAGCAGAGAAGAATGAACCTTACACTTACTCACTGGGCAAGATGTTATCTCAGAATTTTCCACACTGTTGGCTGAGGTACATTAAGTTCACGACTGGCACGATGTGTAGACTTATTTGAACTATTGTACGGATAAATTCTTCTTTAATGTTGCTGAAATAGTAGCAGGCCATCCTGAGCTTTATCCCTCTGCAGATGCATCTACAGTAGTGTCGATACATTTTAAATACAACTTATGAGTTAAATTTCCACTTGGTGGACCTCTTCCATATGTCCTTTGAAATTGTCACTGAACAGTGATCACAGATTGTGTTGCATGATACTTGATCACCCAAAACGCCATTCTCTTGTGATGCCATTTTGACTACTGGGCAATCGGTACCATCTAACATTGTTAGTTTTTCATAAGAAATATTTAAAATTGGGAAGATCATCTGTAATTACCCTGTATATACAGTAAACTATCCTCACTCTAGTCTGGCACACTTGGTTCTGAAGGCCTACCGGGATAGTGAATTTTTAATACTACCATCCCCCCCCCCCCCATCTACAATCTGGTATGCATCACCGATAAATCTTTAGTTAATAATTGGCAAAAGGTGACACTGATGCTTACCTTCATCTGTATTAGAATTTTTTACCAACTTAATTAAAAAAGATTACCTAGGTAAAGCTTTGATCTTTGCTTGCCCAGATGTCTCCTACAGTATTGTTTGTACATCACTGTCTGGGATCATCATTTGTGGTATTCATTGGCATTAGCAGAGGTGTATGGAGCAAGCCTATTTTTCCCACTGGCAATACAGTAAGTTGTATAGGTTTTATAGTGAATAATATAAAGTTAACACATGACTGTGATTAAGCCAGTTTACTCATGCGATCGGGAAATGGCAAATGTGCAGAATGTTTCAACTAGTTGCAGCTTAGCAATACCAAGTGCCAACTGTGAGGGAGAGCATCAGCCAGTCTTTCTGAGGCCAGGAATGGCTTACTGATGTGCCAGAATACAAAGAGGCTAATGTATTACATACAGTATGTACAGATGCAAGGAGTTTAATTCGTGTTCAGTGTACACTACTGTACTGTAAATAAGTGTAAGAATTGCAAATGATGGGCAGGTTGTGAGGGTATTATTTTATTGGTTTTACAAGTGGTTGTTCTGTAATTACATGTCACTACTGAGTGGAATTATATTTTCTATGATTAAAATTTATATATAGTATTCTTGACCCTTTGTATAATTATAGTCATACAATAATTCTACTTTTTATATGAATTTGAATAATTTAAAAAGACAACACTAGTCTTGAATTTATTTTTTCACAGAATACTCCAAAAAATTACCACTGTTGGAAGTTAGAATTTTTAAAGTGAAAGGTGAATGGCAAATTTTAGTTTTCTTAATGGATGTTGAACTCAACTATTTATAGGAACTTTTATCATGATTAATTCCTCAACTGTATTGGATACAGGTCCAGACCACATTGTTTGGAAAATAGAAATAATAATTCCAACTCTTGGTTCATGAATAGTAACCAGCAACTACAGTAGGTATGAGTCATTGTATTGCTTGAAGTAACCAATCATGCTTCCTGATTTTCTTGCTAATAGCAGATCGTGCCATTTTTATTATCAACTTGCCTAGGACACAGCTTGTAGAGATCTGTCTATTATCATTAGGTTTGAGAAAGACATTTTCTGGTAATTATCAACATAAATGTTGAATACAGTACATTTAATGACATACTAAAATACTATAAACATGTGATTAGACCAAGATAAAATATTTTAATATCATAAATTAAGCCACCTTGAATCCCTTAGAGATGGAATTTTATGACTTGAAATCTTTAAGCAATAGTAAAAGCCAAAATTATTTATTTGGCTTGAGTACTGTAGCACAAAAACTTCAGTTCAGCACAAGGTGATTAAGAATATGACAAAATATTACAACCTTATGTGTCCTTTGTCACTGCATGATTGTTGTGGAAATTTGTTTGAAGTTATGATCAACTGAAGTAACACTTTCTTGGAATATATTTTGTGTGGACCATGTTAGATAGTTGAGTTTAAGAGAAACCATCATATTATCTGACTGTTATATATTATTATACAGTTACTGTGTCCCTGCCATAAGGTTTATAATTATGTTTACTGATTACATTAGAAATGGTGGTACAGTATGCATACAGTATTTATCCTGACCACTACTGAGTGATTGTAACGATTGCTGCATTTTTACATTTTCATTAAGAAAACATTAACTTTGCGATATTTCTTAATTTCTTCTTTTTATTTTTCTCTTTACCACTTGTAGGTCACTCCCATACAGTGGCTAGCTGGGTTTTTGTTTTTGTATATAATATTGTTGTAACTTGAGACACGTCCAGTAACTACCTTATATTGTGTGTTATATTAAAATTCAGAGTTAAAATTGGTGACTACTGTACCATACATTAGCTGTTTCATTATAACAACATATGTATTAATGAGAACCTGTGTTTAAGAGAAGACTTTTGACAGCTACAGTATTGGGGTGGTATGGTGGGGAAGCTTGTCTGGTAGATGTAGTTTGTGATCAATCTTGGTTTTAAGTGAAGACAGTATTGCATCATTCATTAGTCTTGTATATAAACCATCACATTATGCATACATATTGGGAGATATTTATATTTGATAGACCTATTTTATTGACAATAAATTTATCTCTTGTACACCAGTCACAATGAAATTGATTATAAATTGAGAACTGAAATTATTATTAACTCACACTGAATCAGTCTTACTTCCCTCCATCAAGACTACTACAAGGTAAGTAAAAGTTCTCCATTGCTCAAGGCTTTCATTAAGTAATTAAACTAGAATAAACCAACAGTGAGACCTTTTGATAGGTAAAGAAAATTATATAATAGACAGTCAGTCTAAATGATTGAGTTTTGATAGAACTTTGAATTATATTTAGTAATAAAAAATAGCTTGCAAAATTGGGTACCCATAAAGAGGGTTAATACAACACTCATGAAATGCTAGATACTGCATTCAAATTTTATAAAAATAAGTTACTAGTTTTTTAGTTTTTCGTGAACACATTAATGTGTATCCCTATCTAAACTGCTGATATTAAAGAAATTTGATGTACACATAAATATCAAAGAAAAGAGAATTAAACATGTAATTGGTTTCATAAGGAATAGCTAGTATACAGTACGGTATTGTGATGGCACCTGTCTATAATGTTAAGTTCCTGGTAATCCTGTTGATTATTAACTGTAGACTAGCAACTATTGCTAAAGCATCATGTATTTGCAACCTTTCTAATTAGTTCAGGTAAACTTTCAGCTAACCAAACTATAGAAAAGAGCTCAACCTATTCAGTTTAAGTTGAGTTTTAGTAATTAGAATTACAGTAGCTACTAGGAGTATAACGTCTTAGTGAGCACTGTGCTGTACAATGGCCAAATAACCACATATGTGTGGAAGTATGATATACTGTACATTGTTTATAAAAAATTCCACACAGTTTTGATATAACTGCAGTACAATGTATATCATTAAAACATTTGCACTTAATATCATACCTTTTCCCATAAATATCAAAGCATTATGGCACACCCAAAATTATCCAATACATTTTTAAAAATTTCCCATGTCCACCTCTTTCAAGTACTGTACAGTGTAAAAGATCCATCACCAGTGCTCAAAATTTTAGTCGATTCATAAATTACTATTAAACAACTGCAATAATATACATTGGTCTCTCGGTTAACGAGCACAATCCGTTCTAGAATGTTGTTGGTTAACCGAAAACTCGTTAACTGAAACCATTGTTTCAATGGGTCTTTGGGTAATTGGTTCCAGCTCACCGAAAATTGCCAAAATTCAGCAAAAAATGTAGAAAAGTACACTTACTTTGAGGTGTGTATGTAGAAGGCTCCTGGATGATAATGATGATGATGGGAATTAGAATGGGGGTGGAGGAGAAGGGAGAAGAGAAGGCATTGGGGTGGAAGAGAAGTCACCCCATGGCGACATTTCACCCATAAAATTTTAGTTCTCTTTGTGTAATTTAAGATTATTTCTTAAAATCAACACTGCACCGCATTATATATTGTCAATATGTAAAACACATTTCAAAATGACTAATAATTTGCTTGCAAACACAGAAAAAAAGTGTTTAGTTGAAGAGAGTCTCAAGCAAGATGTTACCTCCCCTGAAAAGACACAAAGACTGACGCCTGTATGGTGTGTTGAGAGGCTGGATGGCGCGCATAAAACTAGTTTCATTACCTTCAATTATGTTCAATAATTGTTAAAATGACTAAAAAATTTAATGTTAAACTTTTGAAATTATTGAATAGTATAAACTTCTTGATATTTGCTAAAATGGTAAGGAATTTAAGCCCTAGAACCGATTACTGTATTGGCGGACTAATACTACAGATGGTGGATCGCCAAATGCAAGCGAAAACATGTTCAGGTCGGCTCGTAAGAAACTCGTTAATCGAGGGATTGCTCGTTAACCGAAGTTAAGAATCTTATGGAAGGTAACTCGTTAACCGAAATCTCGTTAACCGAAGCGCTCGTTAACCGAGGGACCACTGTATGCTTCAACATTCTCTCAGGTCACACAAGAGTGAAGGTTAAAGAAAGTGAAGAGGACAGAATTATTGGGCAAAGGTTAGACGAATGAAAATTTCTTCTTTAAATGGTGTGGTGTTTGAGCAGGTTTGCCATACCTCGCATATGAGGCGTCATGAGAAGGATGGGCGAATTTGCCACCATCTATTTTCCGTTTTCTCTCTCCCCTCGCAGGCTGAGACCTGTAGAGTGAGTTGGTGGGGTGAGCCATGGCAAAAGCAACCTTCATTCCAAGTAGCGTAAGGGACAAAGTTGATGCGTAATTCCTAAGCATGGTGTAATATCAGGTCTAGCTTACCGAGTAGAAAGGAGGAGCACTCCAGCCAATCACCTCCCATCCACCCGCAGCCTTCAGCCAATGAGCGTCATTCTAGCACGTGCAGTCTAGCACTTCACTCATGTGCTGGTGACATGCTGGTTTCACTCCATTATTTCTCCTATTTTCTTAGGTTTATATACAGATAAACCAATTTTACACAGTCAATGGCAGCAATACCTTTTTGTATACTTTTATGTGAACTACTTGTGGTATAATTTTCATTAGCATATTCCACATATAGATTAATGGTAATTAGTGTAGGTAATTACAACTAATTGTAAAAAAAAAAATTGGCACAAGTTTCTTTCAAATCTAAATAATAACACCAAGATGATGGAAATTTTGTAATATTTGAGATAATTAAGCATTTCTTAACTTTACCTCCATTTTACTCAAATTGTAATTTTGCCATTTTGCCCTCCTTCCTGTGACACCTCATATTGCCTGAGGAAGATACAGCATGTATACAGCACCACCCTTGTCTGAAGGAAGAAAAAGAGTACAGTATAATATGATGTAAGGGAAATCTTTATGATATGCTAGAAATATTTTATGGTAATGAAGTTAAAAGTTTTGAGGAAATATACTTTACAGTCATGTTCATTTGGTAAGATTGGTGTGATGCAATGTGTAACCAATATGATTTATTCCATTTATCACGTATAGTTATTACAGTGAAATTAACAGGAATGCACATAAAACCCATGTTCAGAATTGTATAACACAGTAAAGGTGCAGAAATTGTTGTTGTTGACTGTATATAGCACTTTTTCTTGATGTACAGTAGTTGTGTGAGTTAATGTTACTGTCAAATTGTATTACAGTACTGTACATTTAAAATTTACTTTATTCAGAATTTATTTCAATATCTATATACTGTAGTATTTTCAAATAGCAGTAATTGTTTCCACGAAAAAATAACTAAAAAAAATTAATTACCATACAGCAACTTTCGCCAATATCTCGAGGGTTTGAGCCTCGGCCCAGACACCTGTGAGAAGGGTGTTATCCAGTGTGACCTTCACTACCAAACATCACAGGTCTCCCGGTCTCTGGTTTCCTCCTGTTCTAAAAACTGGACAGACCACCCGAACGGCTAGTAAGCTGATAAGTGGCAAAAATGATACGGTACCTGAAATTTAAATTCTCAGAATTTTTCCAGAATATTTCTCTCAATTCTGGGTCTGTCACAGTTTCCGAGGTTGAAAATCAGGTGATTATCCAAGAAAATTCCGGAAAATCTCCCCCTAATTTTTTTTCCGAGTCTGGGAGCAAATTCCGAGGATGAAATAATGCGTAATTCTAAAAAATTCTGAGAAAATTCCAGAAACTCCATTTTTTAGGATAAGGGATTCAATTCTGAGGATGAAATATTGTGCAATTTCAAGAAAATTCCTAGAAACTTTTCCCAGTCGGGTACCTGGAAAACTCCCAGGACGTTGGATTTTTCTGGGTTTGAGAGAGTCATTTCGTTATCCACAAATCTCTCATCCTTGGAAGAGCTCTGCACCAATTATTCCGGCTTTGTCTAATGGTTGAAGCATTTTGCTTCATTTAATTCATTATAAAAATGCTTGATAAGGATAGTTAATTTAGTGTACATACAAGGAAAGAATTAAAAGCTATAAATCAGAAAGCTATACGCATATCATTGCTGTACAGTACTTGAACTCGGTAGTGTGAAACAGACTCGGTTGATGGTACACAGTGAATTCCCTGTAATGTATGTTCAAGAAAAGAATTACCAATGGCAGACAGGATAATCCTGGAATTTGTACCATGTAATGTTAACAGTGGGTTAACCAGACTAAAATTTAATATAGCTGGATTCTCACATAAAGAACCTTTATTCTTTTTGTATAGGGAATATATAGTGATACTGTACACTGTACTGTAGTTTACAAATTCTTGATAATAAATTTGTTATATCATTAACATATATAATGTACAGTATAAATCATACAGTATTCAATGAGTTGCTGCTCCCCACCATACATGAGGCACAGTAGGTTATGCAGATATTCCTTCAATACCTCACTACAGCACAACTTTGCACACTCATTCATTCAAGCACCTTCCCTTTTCTCACATCCCCTGTGCTGTCTGTACACAACATAAAGTAAAATTCGGTAACAGGACACTGTAAAATGATAGATACCCTTATTGATAATTTTCTGTAAACAGTATAGTATTTATTTATTAAAATTAGATTTTTGCTCTGCACAAATCATCCTTATATGAAAAAAATACATACGGTAATCTCATTGAAACTCTCTTTATTCTAGATAGAAAAATACTGATTGTAAATGGGTATCTAAATAATCATACTGAATTCTATGGCCTTAAATCACAACTGGCTTCCATTGTTATATTACATAATTACATGATAAATATATTCCTGTAAATATTAAAAAAAAAAAATTATTTGCTGTGTGCTTCTATGGCTAAAGCCCCCTGCATTTTGTGTAATACAGTACTGTATGGTGGACATGAGTTGTTAGTGTTGTTTAAAGTCATTGTATCCACTCATTTACATACAGAACTACAGGTACAGCAGTAAAGTTCTCGACATGGAAGTGTAGAAGGTAAAGTTCAAACTTCCAGATTGTAGTTCCTGGATTAATAAAAGTATATCTAATGATGTCCAAGTTAGAAAAGGCCCGGTTGGAGAAGATAGACAGGTGAATAGAATATTTTTATCTATTTAATTCATTTTATTATTCATTGAACACAAAGGGTGTGATGTAAGAAAGAATGTAGAAGAAATCCTCTATTTCTATTTGCAATGTACAAAGTAACTGTGTAAGTAATCTCACAAATTTCTGGAACAAATAAATGTGAAAGTTTTAATCGGATGAAGTTTTGGAATTATTTTTTAACCTTATGTCTGGCTCAGGTGACTTAAGAAGTATAAACCCATCAAGTCTGTGTAATAATTCCATAAGCAGCTGCAGCTGAAAATAATTCATTAAGTAGCCTCCCTCTTCCCATTTGCAAAATTGATAGTAACTAAGGACTGAAGCCTGGAATTACAACATAAATGGTGACTGTTGTCTCTGATACCTTTTCAGGGACTGCTGTGATTGGAAGGTATATTTAACCATTGGATTAGTCTGAGCCACCATTGTCAAAGGATTTATGGGTTTTAACCCTGTAGACTTGGTAGGATCAATACTGTACTTCATTTATGTAAAATAATAGGCCCTTATGTTCCACATCATTATAAATGGCAATAGAGGATATGTATGGTATATTGTATTAAATTAAATTTATTCTTAAGATACAGTGTACTTCTGTCCTCTCCAACTCTGAGACAGTATGAAGCTATGAGGCAAAAGACTACCAAGTTCAGTACAGTATAGTACATGTATGTACTGTACTGTACATGTTTATAGATAGACCTTGCAGCAATATGCATTTTTTAATTTGTTTAGCTGATATAACTATAATTTTGGCCATGATATATCATGAAAATAGTAAAAAGCCCTCAATAAATAATTTAGTGAAGGTGTTAGTCAAATACTGTATGTGCAGTGTTGTGAATGATGTCTGTATTACAGGTATCTAGATGTATGCTGAACCTTGCATGACTATAAGAATAAAAACCCAGGACTGGTTATATTGTAGCTTTGATGTAAAGTAATACAACATGTATCTTGGCCCTACTTGACAGCAACAATATTTGACCCTTATTCACTAATTTTCATGTTAGTACTGAATAATTCTATCATTGATAGTGTTCTTTGCTTGGAGAATATCATTATGAGTAATTAATGACTTATAATTTGGTGTGTCCAAAATAATTTTTATGGGAATATCAGACTGAAAAATAGAAGCTTTAGGTGCCTTTGTTGATATTAGTGCATACAAATGTAAGAAAACTAGGGATGTACATAGTAGAATTTAGCTGACGGTTGTCCATCATTGTTGTTCAGTGAGAATGCTGCATCAGACACTGCTACATCAGATGTAAACTCTAAAACAAGGTATGTACTGTATACTGTACAGTACAGTACAGTATATTTAAATGGAACAAAAGAATAATTACGTGTGATAATCTGAAGACAGACCTGAATTTTTTCAACAATTGTGAGAGGTGTGCAGTACCACTGTACACTTACATTATTGAATTAAAATATGTAATAAAGGAATTTCTGAAAAAAAAACATTATTCTGTATATGAAATATAAATGTATCCAAACTATTGAATTAATCATGCCAATGCTCTATACAATTCAAAACTTATAACAATGTTTGTGATAGTTTGTACATAAAATTCAAATGCAAGAGACAAAATGCAGTTACTTGATGAATTGCAGAGGTTTAGCTGGTGTCTGACATCTCACACTGTAAATACTGTATATGTAATGTCAATAAAATTGCAAAGTAAACAAAGATCGTGGCTTTCATTTTAATGTTTTACATTTATTCAGTTTTGCATACAGTACTGTGCTGTATTTTACTATAATTTATTTATTCTAAGCTGGAGAGATCTTGGCATTGTGATAGGTAATTCATTGAAGACGGTGCAACAAGTGAGGAAAAGAAGCAGAGATTTGAAAATTGGTCCTTCAAGTGTACAAATCTCAAGTATGCCCCAGTCTTGATTACTGTATACAGGCATGGAAACCTACCTTCAGAAAGATCTAACAGCCCTAGAAAAGGTGCAACACAGAGCGACTAAAATGATTTCAGAACTATGTCATCTCAATTATCCATGTAGACTGAGGGCCTTAAGACTAACAACTTCTCGGACAAGGCACAATATGACAGATCTAGTTGTAATACCTGGATGAGCAAAAGGCCCTCCCAGTGGCGGCGGCACTTCAGGGGCACTGCTAGCGGCAGCATGTTCCCCCAGGGACACTCCCAGGGGTGCCTGCACTCCAAAGAGCCCTCTCAGGGTCTGCAGCAACCCAAGGAGTCTTCCCAGGGCCGGCAGCGCCCCAAGGAAACCCAGAGGCGGCGGTGCCCCTACAGAGGCTGCAGTGCCCCCAGGGGCCCTCCCAATGGCGGCAGCGCCCCAGGGGCCTTACCAGAGTGTCCCTCTCCCAAATGACCTATAGCTTGTTTGGTGGTGGTGTTGTACAGTACATATTGCATACGTCCAGCAATCCCTTACTTAACTGTGATTGGTGGACTAAAATGTAAATCCACCCAATTACAGCCAATAGGAGAACAGATCAGTCAGTCAGCACAACACCCTAACTTATGATTTCCTGTTGGATATTTATTCTCCTTTACATATTTCACGATGCGATAATACTGAAACTGGGATGGGTGGTGTATTTATTTAACGTCATATCTCCCATTGTTCCTAATAGTGCAAAAACAACTACCCCCAGGGGCCCTACAGGGGCAGCGCTCCATGGGGCCCTCCCATTTCCATTTCCAGGTACAGAACCTCCAGGGGCCCTTCTTGCAGCGACAGCGACCCCAGGGGCCCTCCGAATTGCGTCGGGAACCTCAGGGGCACTCCTAGGGACGTCGGCGACACAGGGGCCTTCCCAGGGGCACCTGCGAAGCCAGGGACCCTCACAGTGGCCTGCACAGGGGCTGCAAAGCCCCAAGGGTTCTCACAGAGGTGGCGTCGCCTCCAGGGCCCATCCCAGGGGCTGCAGCGCCATCCAAGGGCCCTCCCAGCGGCAGTGGCGCCGCAATTGCCATCGCAGGGACCCTCCTAGGGGCGGCGAAACCCCAAGTGGCCCTCCCAGTGGCGGCGGCACTTCAGGGGCACTGCTAGCGGCAGCATGTTCCCCCAGGGACACTCCCAGGGGTGCCTGCACTCCAAAGAGCCCTCTCAGGGTCTGCAGCAACCCAAGGAGTCTTCCCAGGGCCGGCAGCGCCCCAAGGAAACCCAGAGGCGGCGGTGCCCCCAGGTGCCCCTACAGAGGCTGCAGTGCCCCCAGGGGCCCTCCCAACGGCGGCAGCGCCCCAGGGGCCTTACCAGAGTGTCCCCCTCCCAAATGACCTATAGCTTGTTTGGTGGTGCTGTTGTACAGTACATATTGCATACGTCCAGCAATCCCTTACTTAACTGTGATTGGTGGACTAAAATGTAAATCCACAAAATTACAGCCAATAGGAGAACAGATCAGTCAGTCAGCACAACACCCAAACTTATGATTTCCTGTTGGATATTTATTCTCCTTTATTCATGATGGGATAATACTAGAAATGCGATGGGCGGTGTATTTATTTAAAACGTCATATCTCCCATTGTTCTTAATAGTGCAAAAACAACAACCCACAGAGGCCCTACAGGGGCAGCACTCAAAGGGCCCCCTACATTTACACCTGCTGGGTACAGCGCCCACAGGGGCCCTCCCAGGGGTGCCTGCGCTCCAAAGAGCCCTCCCAGGGTCTGCAGCAACCCAAGGAGTTCTCCTAGGGCCGGCAGCACCCCCAGGAGCCCTCCCAGAGGCGGCAGTGCCCCCTGGTACCCTTACAGAGGCTGCAGTGCCCCCAGGGGCCCTCCCAAGGCGCCGGCGCTTCAGGGGCCTTACCAGACTGTCCCCCTCCCAGATGACCTATAGCTTGCTTGGTGGTGGTGTTGTATAGTACATATTGCATACGTCCAGCAATCCCTTACTTAACTGTGATTGGTGGACTAAAATGTAAATCCACCCAATTACAGCCAATAGGAGAACAGATCAGTCAGTCAGCACAACACCCTAACTTATGATTTCCTGTTGGATATTTATTCTCCTTTACATATTTCACAATGCGATAATACTGAAACTGGGATGGGTGGTGTATTTATTTAACGTCATATCTCCCATTGTTCCTAATAGTGCAAAAACAACTACCCCCAGGGGCCCTACAGGGGCAGCGCTCCATGGGGCCCTCCCATTTCCATTTCCAGGTACAGAGCCCCCAGGGGCCCTTCTTGCAGCGACAGCGACCCCAGGGGCCCTCCGAATTGCGTCGGGAACCCCAGGGGCACTCCTAGGGACGTCGGCGACACAGGGGCCTTCCCAGGGGCACCTGCGAAGCCAGGGACCCTCACAGTGGCCTGCACAGGGGCTGCAAAGCCCCAAGGGTTCTCACAGAGGTGGCGTCGCCTCCAGGGCCCATCCCAGGGGCTGCAGCGCCATCCAAGGGCCCTCCCAGCGGCAGTGGCGCCGCAATTGCCATCGCAGGGACCCTCCTAGGGGCGGCGAAACCCCAAGTGGCCCTCCCATTGGCGGCGGCACTTCAGGGGCACTGCTAGCGGCAGCATGTTCCCCCAGGGACACTCCCAGGGGTGCCTGCACTCCAAAGAGCCCTCTCAGGGTCTGCAGCAACCCAAGGAGTCTTCCCAGGGCCGGCAGCGCCCCAAGGAAACCCAGAGGCGGCGGTGCCCCCAGGTGCCCCTGCAGAGGCTGCAGTGCCCCCAGGGGCCCTCCCAACGGCGGCAGCGCCCCAGGGGCCTTACCAGAGTGTCCCTCTCCCAAATGACCTATAGCTTGTTTGGTGGTGCTGTTGTACAGTACATATTGCATACGTCCAGCAATCCCTTACTTAACTGTGATTGGTGGACTAAAATGTAAATCCACAAAATTACAGCCAATAGGAGAACAGATCAGTCAGTCAGCACAACACCCCAACTTATGATTTCCTGTTGGATATTTATTCTCCTTTATTCATGATGGGATAATACTAGAAATGCGATGGGCGGTGTATTTATTTAAAACGTCATATCTCCCATTGTTCTTAATAGTGCAAAAACAACAACCCCCAGAGGCCCTACAGGGGCAGCACTCAAAGGGCCCCCTACATTTACACCTGCCGGGTACAGCGCCCACAGGGGCCCTCCCAGGGGTGCCTGCGCTCCAAAGAGCCCTCCCAGGGTCTGCAGCAACCCAAGGAGTTCTCCTAGGGCCGGCAGCACCCCCAGGAGCCCTCCCAGAGGCGGCAGTGCCCCCTGGTGCCCTTACAGAGGCTGCAGTGCCCCCAGAGGCCCTCCCAAGGCGCCGGCGCTTCAGGGGCCTGACCAGAGTGTCCTCCTCCCAGATGACCTATAGCTTGCTTGGTGGTGGTGTTGTATAGTACATATTGCATACGTCCAGCAATCCCTTACTTAACTGTGATTGGTGGACTAAAATGTAAATCCACCCAATTACAGCCAATAGGAGAACAGATCAGTCAGTCAGCACAACACCCTAACTTATGATTTCCTGTTGGATATTTATTCTCCTTTACATATTTCACGATGCGATAATACTGAAACTGGGATGGGTGGTGTATTTATTTAACGTCATATCTCCCATTGTTCCTAATAGTGCAAAAACAACTACCCCCAGGGGCCCTACAGGGGCAGCGCTCCATGGGGCCCTCCCATTTCCATTTCCAGGTACAGAGCCCCCAGGGGCCCTTCTTGCAGCGACAGCGACCCCAGGGGCCCTCCGAATTGCGTCGGGAACCCCAGGGGCACTCCTAGGGACGTCGGCGACACAGGGGCCTTCCCAGGGGCACCTGCGAAGCCAGGGACCCTCACAGTGGCCTGCACAGGGGCTGCAAAGCCCCAAGGGTTCTCACAGAGGTGGCGTCGCCTCCAGGGCCCATCCTAGGGGCTGCAGCGCCATCCAAGGGCCCTCCCAGCGGCAGTGGCGCCGCAATTGCCATCGCAGGGACCCTCCTAGGGGCGGCGAAACCCCAAGTGGCCCTCCCAGTGGCGGCGGCACTTCAGGGGCACTGCTAGCGGCAGCATGTTCCCCCAGGGACACTCCCAGGGGTGCCTGCACTCCAAAGAGCCCTCCCAGGGTCTGCAGCAACCCAAGGAGTTCTCCTAGGGCCGGCAGCACCCCCAGGAGCCCTCCCAGAGGTGGCAGTGCCCCCTGGTGCCCTTACAGAGGCTGCAGTGCCCCCAGGGGCCCTGCCAAGGCGCCGGCGCTTCAGGGGCCTGACCAGAGTGTCCCCCTCCCAGATGACCTATAGCTTGCTTGGTGGTGGTGTTGTATATAGTACATATTGCATACGTCCAGCAATCCCTTACTTAACTGTGATTGGTGGACTAAAATGTAAATCCACCCAATTACAGCCAATAGGAGAACAGATCAGTCAGTCAGCACAACACCCTAACTTATGATTTCCTGTTGGATATTTATTCTCCTTTACATATTTCACGATGCGATAATACTGAAACTGGGATGGGTGGTGTATTTATTTAACGTCATATCTCCCATTGTTCCTAATAGTGCAAAAACAAGTACCCCCAGGGGCCCTACAAGGGCAGCGCTCCATGGGGCCCTCCCATTTCCATTTCCAGATACAGAGCCCCCAGGGGCCCTTCTTGCAGCGACAGCGACCCCAGGGGCCCTCCGAATTGCGTCGGGAACCCCAGGGGCACTCCTAGGGACGTCGGCGACACAGGGGCCTTCCCAGGGGCACCTGCGAAGCCAGGGACCCTCACAGTGGCCTGCACAGGGGCTGCAAAGCCCCAAGGGTTCTCACAGAGGTGGCGTCGCCTCCAGGGCCCATCCCAGGGGCTGCAGCGCCATCCAAGGGCCCTCCCAGCGGCAGTGGCGCCGCAATTGCCATCGCAGGGACCCTCCTAGGGGCAGCGAAACCCCAAGTGGCCCTCCCAGTGGCGGCGGCACTTCAGGGGCACTGCTAGCGGCAGCATGTTCCCCCAGGGACACTCCCAGGGGTGCCTGCACTCCAAAGAGCCCTCTCAGGGTCTGCAGCAACCCAAGGAGTCTTCCCAGGGCCGGCAGCGCCCCAAGGAAACCCAGAGGCGGCGGTGCCCCCAGGTGCCTCTACAGAGGCTGCAGTGCCCCCAGGGGCCCTCCCAACGGCGGCAGCGCCCCAGGGGCCTTACCAGAGTGTCCCCCTCCCAAATGACCTATAGCTTGTTTGGTGGTGCTGTTGTACAGTACATATTGCATACGTCCAGCAATCCCTTACTTAACTGTGATTGGTGGACTAAAATGTAAATCCACAAAATTACAGCCAATAGGAGAACAGATCAGTCAGTCAGCACAACACCCCAACTTATGATTTCCTGTTGGATATTTATTCTCCTTTATTCATGATGGGATAATACTAGAAATGCGATGGGCGGTGTATTTATTTAAAACGTCATATCTCCCATTGTTCTTAATAGTGCAAAAACAACAACCCCCAGAGGCCCTACAGGGGCAGCACTCAAAGGGCCCCCTACATTTACACCTGCCGGGTACAGCGCCCACAGGGGCCCTCCCAGGGGTGCCTGCGCTCCAAAGAGCCCTCCCAGGGCCTGCAGCAACCCAAGGAGTTCTCCTAGGGCCGGCAGCACCCCCAGGAGCCCTCCCAGAGGCGGCAGTGCCCCCTGGTGCCCTTACAGAGGCTGTAGTGCCCCCAGGGGCCCTCCCAAGGCGCCGGCGCTTCAGGGGCCTGACCAGAGTGTCCCCCTCCCAGATGACCTATAGCTTGCTTGGTGGTGGTGTTGTATATAGTACATATTGCATACGTCCAGCAATCCCTTACTTAACTGTGATTGGTGGACTAAAATGTAAATCCACCCAATTACAGCCAATTGGAGAACAGATCAGTCAGTCAGCACAACACCCCAACTTATGATTTCCTGTTGGATATTTATTCTCCTTTACATTTTTCATGATGCAATAATACTGGAACTGCGATGGGTGATGTATTTATTTAACGTCATATCTCCCATTGATCTTACTAGTAAAAGAACAATTGTCCCCAGAGAATAAATATCCAATAGGAAATCATAAGTTGGGTTGTTGTGCTGACTGACTGTTCTGTTCTCCTATTGGCTGTAATTGGGTGGATTTACATTTTAGTCCACCAATCACAGTTAAGTAAGGGAATGCTGGACGTAAGCAATATGTACTGTACAACACCACCACCAAACAAGCTATAGGTCATCTGGGAGGGGGACACCCTGGTAAGGCCCCTGGGAGGCCGGCGCCTTTGGGAGGGCCCCTGGGGGCACTGCAGTCTCTGGAAGGGCATATGGGGGCGCCGCCGCTCTGGGAGGGCTCCTGGGGACGCTGCCGACCATGGGAGAACCCATGGGGGTGCTGCAGACCCTGGGAGGGATGTTGGGAGCGGAGGCACCCCTTGGAGGGCCCCTGGCGGTGCATGCCACCATTGGCAGTGCCCTTGAGGCGCCGCCGCCCCTGGGAAGGCTTCTGGGGGCCCCGCCGCCCCATTGAGAACCCCTGGAGCACCGTCGCCGCTAGGAGGGTCCCTGCGAGGGCAATTGCAGCTTCACTGCCACTGGGTGGGCCCTTGGATGGCGCTGCTGCCACTGGGAGGGCCGTTGGGGGCGACGCCGCCTCTGTGATGGCCCTTGGGGCTTCACCTCCCCTGGTCAATCCACTGTGAGGGTCCCTGGGTTCGCCATTGCCCCTGGGAAGGGCCCAGGGGTCGCCAAATCCCTTGGGAGTGCCCCTGGGGTTGCCGACGCCCTTCAGAGGGCCCCTGGAGTTGATGTCTCTATAGGTAGGGCCCCTGGGGTTGCTGCCGATGCAGGGAGAGCCCCTGGGGGTGCTGCACCTGGCATGACAAATGGGAGGGCCCCATGGAGCACTACCCCTGTAGGGCCACTGGGGGCAGTTGCTTTTGCACTATTAAGAACAATGGGAGATATGACGTTAAATAACCGCCCATCCCAGTTCTAGTATTATTACATCATGAAAAATGTAAAGGAGAATAAATATCCAACAGGAAATCATAAGTTGGGGTGTTGTGCTGACTGACTGATCTGTTCTCCTATTGGCTGTGATTGGGTGGATTACATTTTAGTCCACCAATCACAGTTAAGTAAGGGAATGCTGGACGTATGCAATATGTACTGTACAACACCACCACCAACCAGGCTATAGGTCATCTGGGAGGGGGACACTCTGGTAAGGCTCCTCGGAGAGCTGCCGGCCCTGGGAGATCCCCTGGGGGTGATGCAGACCCTGGAAGAGCTGTTGGGAGCGCAGGCACCCCTGGGAGTGCCCCTGGGGGAGCATACCGCCACTTGTAGTGCTCTTAGGACGCCGCCGCCACTGAGAGGGCCCTCAGGGGTGCTGCCGCCCCTTTGAGAACCCTTGGAGCGCCGCCACCGCTAGGAGGGCCCCTGCGAGGGCAATTGCAGTGCAACTGCTGCTGGGAGGACCCTTGAATGGCGCTGCTGCCCTGGGAGGGCCATTGGGGGCATCGCCGCCTTTGTGATGGCCCTTGGGGCTTTGCCGCCCCTAGGCAGGGCACTGTGAGGGTCCCTGTGTTCGCCGCTGCCCCAGGGCTTCTCTGACGCCCTTGGGAGTGCCCCTGGGGTTGCCGACTTCCTTGGGAGGGGCCCCTGGGGTCGCTGTCGCTGCAGGGAGGGCTCCCTGGGGTCGCCGCCGTTGCAGGGAAGTCCCCTTGGAATGGTATCCCTGTAGGGCCTCTGGGGGCAGTTGTTTTTGCACTATTAAGAACAATGGGAGATATGACGTTAAATAAATACACCGTCCAGCATGCTTCCAGCAAAGTTAATTGTAGACACTCCCTCTGTCTCTCTCCTGTCTCCCTCTCCCTCTCTCTCTCTTCCTTCTAGTTTATCCTACTGTGGCGGTAATGTAAAGGAGATAAATATCCAACAGGAAATCATAAGTTGGGGTGTTGTGCTGACTGACTGATCTGTTCTCCTATTGGCTGTGATTGCGTGGATTATATTTTAGTCCATCAATTACAGTTAAGTAAGGGATTGCTGGATGTTTGCAATATGTATAACAGCACGACAGAGCAAGTTACAGGCATTCTGGGAGGGAGCGCTCCTGGGGCGCCGCTGTCTCTGGGAGGGCCCCTGGGATCGAGGCTGCCCTTAAGAGGGACCTTGCACGACCCCCCTGGGAGGACCCATGGAGTCGCCGGCGCCCCTTGGAGGGTCAGTGGGGTCACTGATGCCCCTGAGAGGGCCAATGGGGGCGCCGCCAACCACTGGGAGGGCCCCTGGGGTCGCCGACATCCCTGGGATCTTTGATGCCCCTGGGAGGGTTCCTGGGCTCGAACACCGCTGCCCCTAGGAGGGCCACTGTGGGCAGCGCCGCCCGTAGGGCTCGCCACTGCCCATGGGGCGCTGCTGTTGGTGGGAGGGCCCCTGGGGACGCTGCTGCTTCTGGAAGGGCCCCTGTGAGGACCCTTAAGGTTCTGCTACCCCTGGCAGGCCACTGCAAGGCCCCCTAGGGTCGGTGACGCCCCTGGGAGGGTTCCTTGGGTCGCCGACCCCCTTGGGATGATCCCTGGGGTTGCTGCCGCCCTAGGGAAGGTCCCTGGGGGCGCCACACCCCGGTAGGGCTAAAGGAAAGGCTCCAGGGAGTGCTGCCCCTGAAGGGTCCCTGAGGGCAATTGTTTTTGGACTATTTAGAACAATGGGAGATATGCTGTTCAATAAATACACCGCCCATCGCATTTATAGTATTATCGCATCATAAACAATGTAAAGGAAAATAAATATCCAACAGGAAAACATAAGTTGGGGTGTTGTGCTGACTGACTGATCTGTTCTCCTATTGGCTGTAATTTGGTGGATTTACATTTTAGTCCACCAATCACAGTTAAGTAATGGATTGCTGGACGTATACAATATGTACAACAGAACGACCAAGCAGGCTATAGGGCTTCTGGGATGGGGTGCCCCTGGGGCACCATAGCCTCTGGGAGCACTGCCGCCGCTGGGAGAGCCCCTGGGGTCGTCGCCGCCACTGGGAGGGCCGCTGAGGGCATTACCACCGCTGGGAGGGCCCCTGGGGTCAGTGACGCCCCTGGGAGGGCTGCTGCAATCACCGATGCCGCCAGTAGGGTCCCTGGGAGTACCGCCGCTCCTGGGAGTGCCACCACCCCTGGAAGGGTCCCTGGGGGCGCCGCCACCTTTGGGGGTGCCCCTGAGAGCACCGCCGCCCCGAGAACCCCTGGTGGCGCCGCTGCCCTTTGGAAGGCCCCTGAGAATGTCACTGCCCCGGGAAGGGCCCCTGGGGGCGCCATCGCCCCTGGTAGGGCTACGCCACCCCTAAGAAGGGCTGCTGCCTTCTTTGGGAGGGCCCACTAGGGACGCCGCTGCCCCCATGAGTGCCCCTTCGGGCGCCTCCGCATATGGGAGGGCCACTGGGAGCGCCACCCTTGGAAGGGGCCCCTAGGGGGTGGTGCTGCCCCTGGCAGGCTCCTAGCGGCGCCGCCGCCCCTGGGAGCACCATCGTCTCTGGCAGGGCCCCTAGGAGCTCAGCCACCCATAAGGTGGGCTATTGGAGGCGCTGCCACCTTTGGAAGGGCCCCCTAGGGGTGCCACCATCCATGTGAGTGCCCTTAGGGGTGCCTCCATATCTGAGAGGGCCCCTGGGGGCTTCACCACCCCTGTGGAAGCCGGTGCCTTTGGGAGGGCCCCTTCCCTACTGCTTTTATTCATCCCTAAATCCCCCTTTTCCCTTCTCTTCCACTCCCTCCCTTACCTTCCCCTCCCTTCACTCCCCTCCATCCATCCCTTCCCTGTTGTACATTGCTAAAACATTGTTCAATTATTCCTTATGTTGCATCATACTACTAGATATATGGCACATTTTACACACTGCTAGATCGGTTAAAAATACCTGTTTCTATCATTTTCAAATGCCATTATTGTAAGAGAAATTTCTTAGGAAATCTCATGGTCATCAAACCTAACCTACAGTACTGTATTATACCATAAACGCCTCAGATGAGCAGGAACCTAGGTTAAGTTTCCTACTCCTGAATAGATATAACATAAAGGTTACTCTCACATCTGTGGTTAAAACCTTGGCAGCCTTACTTAACCTCACCTTGGTTTTCAATCAACCTAGTTTTCATTGACTTTTCATGACAGTATTGATACACTTTGCAATTTTAATCATGTATTTATAGGCAACAGCACTCTGTGATAATGAATATACTCAGAAAAGCAATTATTTACTATTAGTATGCTTTACCAAGTACTGTACCTTTTAGGACGACCAACCAATCCGTGTACCACCCGACTACAACAGAATAAGCAATGGCTGGTTAAATTAGTGATGTTGCCATTCAGGGATGTTTGTTTGAGAAGAAGAGGAATTTATTTTCCAATTGTAGCCTCAGAGGTGGAAGGTTAGGTTAGCCAGTTGAATGTGATGAAATCAATGCATTGGTACAACTGCATTAGGAAGAATTACCATATATATTTACTGTTAATTTAGGTTATGTTAGGTTAGATTCTGTGCAGGAGGTAGCAGTAAATGCTTACAAGAACTATGCATGAGGAGCTGAGTGTCAATAAGTAGATGACCTCAGCATGGGTTTGTTTTATCTCCTTGTATTACATACAATTCAAATATGTAGCAATTACTGTAAATTTTTTCTTTTTTTTCTTTTGCCATACCTTGCAATTGCTATTACTGTATAGTAATGTACAGTAAGTAATGAGAATCTCAGGGTAGTTACAGTATTTCCTTCATTTATTATCTGCTACTGTAAACTGCCTTTTTTTTTATCTTGTAGGAAAAAAGAAAAATATTTATTTTTTATTAAAATTTTTTCTTGTATACCTATTTATTAAAACAATAAAAGTGTTAAATTTCATTTTAGTTCACTGTTCCTATATTTCTTAGTTGTTTTTATGTGAAATGTTTCAAAAGGTAGCTTATACTCGTATACATCTTCCTCTGCAAACTGAAGATAGTAGTTATTGCAGCCTCGTAGTAAAAATCTGAAAGAAGTTCCTTGGTATGCGTGCCACATATGAAATGAAAAATATACCTTTCAAGTTATAACAAGCTATTCTGCCAAGTATCCAAGAAGTACTCATGACTCATTTATGTGTGCCAACAGTAGTATACAAAGGAGCTTTGGTAATGGGTAAGTGATTTATAACCAAAACATTCATAATTATCATCATAATGGTTAAAGACAATAAGTTGAACGCTAAATTACCTTACCTTACCTAACCTAAAGTGGATTGGAGACTTTCTTCATGACCGCAAACAGTGTGTGGTGATTAATGGCATGAAATCCTCATACGTACCTGTCACAAGCGGGGTACCACAGGACAGTGTATTGGGTCCACTGTTGTTTGTTTGCTTCATAAATGACATGCCTGACGCTGTACACTCCTCCATACAAATGTTTGTGGATGACGTCAAATTATTTCGGAAAATTAAGGACCAAGCAGACTGTGAAAAGCTGCAGAAGGATCTCTGTGAGCTTCAAGAATGGTCAAAGAAATGGCTGCTAAGATTCAATGTCACAAAGTGTAAGAGGCTGCACCTGGGACGTACCAACGGTAAGGAGGTGTATCACATGTCCCAACAGGACGACGAAACTGCATTAATCGAGACCGAATATGAAAAGGACCTAGGTGTGTATGCTGACAATGAGCTGAAGTTCTCGGGCCATTGCGAGAAGAAGGTGAATCAGGCAACAAAATTATTAAGAAGGTCGGTTAGATATCTAGATGGCCGTCCCTCGTAACGATCTTCATATATATACAGAGATCAGATTCATGTGGGTGATGTCACTGTTCAATGCCATGCAGGACAGAGGTTCATACACAAAGAAATGCATCATATTCATTAGCAGTATATATAGGTCAGAGTCATGTGGTGATGTCACTGTTCACTGTCATGCAGGACAGAGGTTCGTACACAAAGAAATGCATCATATTCATTAGCAGTATATATAGGTCAGAGTCATATGGTGATGTCACTGTTCGCTGTCATGCAAGACAGTGGTTGATATATATTGGACGTCATATTCTAATTGAAGACTAATCAGTGTAGGCTAGCAAATTTGGGATAAACAGCAAGAATGTCCTCAAGCACCCCCGATTCAATGTAGTAATTACAAAGTTCATGATACAATAAGCCAGGTGGCCTGAAGTCTTTGACAGTGTCACATTCAATAAGATAGTGTTCAAGTGTATGCTTTAGAGGTTTATCACAAAGTTTACATGCTGAGTGTTCCGGTATGGGTACAGCGTTACTAACTTGCCAGATGTGTCTGTATCCTAGCCTAATTCTGGCCACAACTATAACACATTGTGTGGTTCTGTCCTTATGCTGGCCATACTGGTACCTCTTGTCACAAAATTTGTCATATTTACTAATGCTACAACTGTCAGGTCTCTCTGCATTTCTCACTTCTTCTAGATCAGAGTTCATGATTCTGACTTGAATGTTTTTAATTACAGCATTGGACAGACCAAGGTCACGGTCAACATTTTCTTTCTTACATGCCTCATTGGCCAGTCTATCAGCATGGTCATGATACCTGATTCCAACATGGGACGGAATCCACACAAATTCGATACGAAAGTTGTTCTCATTGGCAGTTATCACATTTCTTTTAATATCACATGCAACTTTAGACATAAAACCTGACGGGCTGTTCATTGATTTCAAAGCACTTTGAGAGTCACAGAATATCACCCCACCTCCATTTACTTTAAGGCAGTCTGTGGCTAAGTAGATTCCAGTTACTGTAGTTCAGTTTGTGTTGTGCTGGCCCAGTTGTCAGCCTTTGCTTGTTTGACACTAACATCTCTTTTTATTTATATAATACAATTGCACAGCCTGTTTTACCTTGTTTGTCTGCACAAAACCATCAGTAAAAGCATAACATTCACTTGATTTAAATTTAGGTTAGGTAAGGCATAGTAAGGTTAAATTAGGTAAAGGTTAGGTTAGGTAAAGATTAGGAAAGGTACATTTCACTAATTTTGTGGCAAAAACGAGCATTACTACCGATTGTATTAAATAAAAAACCTATGAGAAAATACTTTTTGTAAAATAATGTGATGTGACACTGTTTTATATATATATATATATATATATATATATATATATATATATATATATATATATATATATATATATATATATATATATATATATATATATATATATATATATATATATATATATATATATATATATATATATATATATAACCACACAGGAAAAGGGAAACAATGGAGCACCACCT